CTAATACATTTAAAGGATAAGTTCACCTTTCTAAAAAAAATAAAATAAATAAATTAACATTTTTTTTAATGCAGGTAACAAAAGTGCTACATTATTATTAATAATAATAATAATAATTATTTCAGGCTCCTGCAGACTGTCTGGGTATCTGTCAGTTCATACTTCATACAAGCAGGCAGTTGCACAATGACAGCAAGATTCAAACTACCTAGAGCACTTGCTAGCACCCTGATAGTTCATTGAGAACTGTGAGTCATCTGCAAAGGATGTTGATACTTGTAGTTTATTCATTCACAGATCTCTGTGAATGAATGATGAGGCTGAGTGGGTGGAGCCCGCACAGCCACGCTCTTTTCAAATTGTGACAGTGGGTGCAGTGAGAAGAGCCCCAGCCTGCTGTCACAATGGGGGGTGGGGTAGGGTATGGTGGGGGACTTGTTCCCCAAAGTGAGCTTATGCTTTACACTTTAACATTCCCATTCCCCCAGACTGAGAATGCTGCTGTGCCTCCTATGCTCAGTCTTTCAAAGATGTCTCCCTAATACTGGATGTGTGTTATTGGCCATATCACCAGGTGAAAACAGATGAAAAAGCCAAACAAAAAAAAAAACTGATGCAGCCACCAATGCTGATTGGTAAGCTGCAATATATTACATTTTTGGTTTTGGGTTTATTACCGTTTTTAAACTATTTTCTCCCATAGTTGACAATTTACTAGAGTGGAAAGTTGTGTGTTCCTCGCACTTTTTAATAGACAATCTCACTACCTGCATGCCAATTTTGTGTTTGTTCCTAATTAATTCATTTTTACAAAAGAGGGATTAATAATATGCATGTGATGTATACTGTTTAATAAAGATCACCTGTAATTTCTTTTAAACTAAAACTCTGTAAAGAATGCAGGAAGGAATGGTAGACATTACCCAATTTAATATAAAGTATGTTGAAGGTATATTGTAACGTTAAGCACCATCTCTTTTATATATAGCCACTGAAAGTAGGAAAAGGAGTTGCTGTTCTCAGATATTAGGCAACTACTGAGCGTGTTTCACAAGTTCATTCATTGGCTAACCTGCTGACATTACTTTGGTGACAGGTAAACAGTGTAAGGGATGCACAAGATTGGAGTAGGCTTTAAAGAAGAACTCCAGGATGGGCAAAAAAAACATCCATTAGTACACCCAACTACACAAAATGCTAAACTATTAAAATATTCAAAAATGTTACCATTTAGGAGACAAGTCTAATGGAATTTTCATGATATCTCTTTTAATTAAAAACAATTACAGCATCTGCCTAGCTGAGGAGGTGTGAGAGATGAGATGACATCACATCCTCCCCTCTCTACAGTAAAAGGAAACTACAGTTCTCATCAAGCACAGGGAATTGTAGTGAATGTGGACGGGTACACTAGGCCTGTACATAGTGTATGTGTACTTGCCTACTTCAAACAGAAAATACCTACACATTCTCCTGCCACTGCTATCCTCACATGTGATCACTCCCCTCCAGTCACAACAGAATAGGAACTAATTTCCAGGACATTCTTTCTATTTTTTTTTTTATCAGCCACTGCTGCTTGTATGCTTCCATGTGATCACATCCCCAGCCACAACAGAACAGAAATAAAGCACTGGAACATGCTGGTTTACGTCGCTAACTAAATATGGGCATGTATGATAACCGGTATGTTTGGTCCCACACCTTCTTTGTTTCCATTTTGAAGGATCGAGGATGAGTCATCAGTTGCTAGGGCTCAGGCAGCCACCCAGATTTTTTTTTTTTTTTTTTTAGTTATCTGTCAGCAGGAGAGCGCAGAGTCATGAAATCTGCAGTACAAAACACCTCTCTCATATGCAGATCAAGACAGAGGGGGAGGTTCCAAGGCATAGAGATAGACATTGATCAGATATCAGTATGCATGTGACTTGGATAATGCTGCTGCCAGATTGGTGTGTGTCAGTGTCAGGAGACTGTGTGTACTGTGGATGTGGGGGGTGGCTTAGAAAGGCAGGAGCGGAGCAGTGTATGCAGTGATTGGCTCTCACTATGTGTTAGTGTCGGTTTTTTAATGTAATTACCGTCTTTTTTTTTTTTTTTTTTTTTCACTATGACTCACAGAATTAGCTGTCACTTTCTCCCAGATAAAAGAAACCGTTTCCTTTAACTCCAGGGAAAGTGACAGCTAATTCTGTGAGCTATAGTGAAGAAAAATAAAGCATTGCATTTAAAAACCGGCACTGACCTATGGTGACAGCCAGTGAGGGAGCCTTTCTGTATACCCTGCTCCCCCACTGTATAGACTGCTCCTCTCCTGACCCATCCTTGCACACACTGCCCCCCTACAAAGAGCACCTGGCACTCATGTTATCCCATAGGGGACTATTGGTCCCCTATGTGATGGCAATAAAATCATAAATTAACAAAAATATATGCATGAAAGAAAAAAAAAAAAAATGTGGAGGCTCCCCACCCCCATATAAGCAGACGTTTCGCTTTTCGGCCACATGCATTCTGAATTTTCGGTATCGGTTTCAGCACCAGGAACATTTCGGTGCACCACTAATATATAGATATACAGTTAGGTCCATAGATATTTGCACACAGGCACAATTTTAGTTCTTTTCAGGTATTTACCAAAACATATTCAAGCTTTAGTTATATAATGGATATTGGCTGAAAGTGCACACTCTCAGGTTTAATTTTACCATAGAGAGGATCCTGCGATCATCCAGCACTGTTGTCTTCCATGGACGTCCATGCCTTTTTATGTTGCTGAGCTCACCAGTGCATTTTTCTTTCCTCAGAATGTACCAAACTGTTGATTTGGCCGCTCCTAATGTTGCTGCTATCTCTCTGATGGATTTGTTTCATTTTTGAAGCCTTACAATGGCCTGTTTCACTTGCATGGACAGCTCCTTTGAATGCATGATGAAGGTTCACAACAATAGATTTCAAATGCAACTTTAGACCTTTTACTTGATTAACTGATGAAGACATAACAAAGGAGTAGCCCACACCTGGCCACGAAATAGTCTTTTTGATTCAATTGTCTAATTACTTTTGGCCCCTTGAAAAAAGGGGGAATGGCTACTCTTAAGAGCTGTAATTCCTAAACCCTTCCTCCATTTTGGATGTATGTACCCTCAAGTTAAACCTGAGTGTGCACTTCCAGCCCATATCCATTATATAACTATAGCGTGAATATGTTTAGTTGAATAACTGAAAAAAACTAAAATTGTGCCTGTGTCCAAATATATATGGACCTAACTGTATATAGATATGTGTGCACACACACTTTTACTAGTGGAAGTGGTGCAGAGACTCCTAGCTGAAGCTATGAGAGATGGGACTGAGTGCCAGTGTCCTGAGCTGTCATTCATAGAACACTGCCTCAGTGGGAGGTAAAGACCGGGACAGAAATACATCACCGCGTGCCAGAGAGAACTACAGCAGAGATGTGACAAGACCAGTGGCTGGGAGAATAGTGGCATAACAGTCACTGGTCTTACAAACTGGAAACCCCTGGGAATTAACGGTTTGATTAATAGGCTATTTCACAACAACTACTAAATGAACCATATGTTTGATGACCTATTCAGTGAAGGTAGGAAAGCAGCAACAATGACATGTAAAATTTTTTTTGCCCACAGTTCTGCTTTAAACCCAACTCCAGGAAAACTAAGAACTCTCTCATGCAATAGAGTCACATTCATACTACGAGGGTTAAGAGCTCATTTATGTCTAGGAGGCAGAAAAGCAGTTTGCTTACCTGATCCTCTGTCCCCTTGATCCAGCAGTTTGACTGTGCCTTGTGTCCAATACAAGGTTGTGATCCCGGCATTGGTCTTGATGATGTCAGTGGACTCCACCACTGGAGCATAGGGGATTGGAGGCTATCTAGCACCACAGATGAGCCTGTGTGAACAGGGGACCAGGTAAGAAAAGGTGCTTTGCAAAATGTCCTAGACATGAATGAGCAGATAACCCATGCAGAGGATTTTTAGGTTTTATGGAGTTCAGCTTTAAACAGTAATACATTCAAAATGTACTGCAACCTTTATTGTTGGAAGTACCTGGTGTAGGGTCTGTCTCTCCTTAACGACACCGTGTTCATTTTGATAACAGGCACTCTTTAAGGGACCATTCACACCAGCAAGCCACAATGATGGTACGCCAGCTGGTGTGTGCCATGAGACACAATTTACATTTTTTTTCAGAGAACTTTATTGGTGTGTCACAAGTGGCATTCAATACAGTCCTATTCACTGCATGACATGATGCAGTGGTTTATGTTGCAACCTGCTTTGCTGAAAAAGAATTATTGTTTTCAGAGAACTGTGAATGGACAGCAATGGAAGCAAGGCGTTTTGCCTTGTCTGTGAGTTAGTTGCCAGCGTAGCCTCAATGCATCCACCTAGTGTGAACAAGCCCTAAAAGTATGCAGTCACATGCAGAAATAACACATTTTGCTTGTTAATTGCAGTTCATTCCATATCCTGTTGCACTAAATGCTACAAATCAAAATGGTGCCGGGGTACCCTCTTTTGCTGACGTGGGATGGGTCGCACATGAAGAGGAGGGAGAAGCGTTTACTAGGCTAAGGTAAGTTTTACTTAATGTAATTCATTCAGATCTATGGAAGTAATGTACTGACCCCATACACTGGAGTCTGGGCAGCAGGATAGGGCATGTGGCTAGTGACTGCAGCATGTGTGACCACGATACCAGTTGATGGTATTCATTCAAATGGTGAAATCTTGCTTCGCTTGTTCTCATATTGATTTTAGATCTTCATCATTGGGAGATCTTGTCTGCTTAGCTTGAGATTTATTAAATATTTGATTCCTTTAATTTCATGTAATGTTTTTTCAATATATATTTCTGCCTTGATGTAATTATTGTAATATGTTTCTAGGGCACAGAATCATGTGCACCACAATCTGTCATTAGAAGATGAGTTAAGCCATTATGACAAACCACTTAGAAGACAGGTATCCATGCCTGCTCTTTTGAAGGAGGCGCCAGAGATCAGATTGCTGCCAGTGGCCAATGAAGAGGCTTTGCAGAAGATCAATGCACTGGAAAATGAGCTGGCTAACTTGAGAGCACAGATTGCCAAGATTGTTACTATCCAAGAGCAGCAAACTGTGACTGCAGGTATTTCTATACAGGGCTTCCTGATCATTTATGGTGGGATGCTGTTAGGAATTCAACACTCCTCATGCATTTTTTTTAAGGCATATTTTCTGGCATACTATGTATTTGTGTTACCATATCTTCTTGGGATCCAGATACTTTGTTTTCGGTGATGAAGAAGATGTCAGTTGAGGGTAAACAGTTTTGAAAGTTTATTTAGAAGAGTTCGAGTGAAAAAAAGGAAGATTAGCAAGTGCATGTGAAGGTACTAAGTTTGGTTATGTGCCAAACTTAGTACCTTCATGGAAATGTGGATTTCAAATCTCCAATCTTAGACGTTTGCCATGTGCATGTAATATATATTAAACTGTTTTTTTTTTTTTTTTTTTTTGTTTTTTTTTTCTTCAAATTCATAGGTTCTGTTTCTACACCTGTTTTCACCTTGTGCAGCACCTCCACCCCCGCCTCCACCTCCTCCTCCTCCTCCTCCTCCACCACCTCCTGCTCTTCACAGAAGTATCTCTGCAATAGACCTGATTAAGGAGAGAAAGGGCAAGAAGAACAATGTAGAAGCAACAGTGCTAGACAGCATACCAAAGAAGCCAGAAATGCCAAACATGTTGGATGTTCTAAAAGACATGAAGCAAGTGAAGTTGCGCTCTGTGAAAAGGTAATGCATGCTGACAACATACTTAGAGGAATTAGAACAGTCTTATTCCTGTCTAGCCCCTTGATCCCCCCTGGCTTGTGCTTCTGTTAAGATTTTTATAGTTAGTGTCTGCAGAGGAATGAGGTGAATGTGCAAACTGTATTTATCCCTGTACCCCTCTTTCCATCTGCCGATTAGTTGTGTCAAATTATGGAACTGGAAAGTATTGTGATGTCCCAAAGCTGACCTGATTGTAAGCACTGTGCCCAGATTAAAGTACTGAAGTACTGCTTGCAACAAAGACCAGGCTGTGTACAACTGGCATTAATCCTTTTTTTTTTTTTTTTTTAAACTTGTGCCCCATGTCGTTTAAGAGACATATTAGACTACATTGTGAATAGCTCTGAAGTAAACTATAGTTCTGTCAGAGAATGCAGTAAAATCTCTTGGTATAGTTAACTGTTCTGGTCTGGAGTTTTTTCTGACGGACTGCCTTTTTTTAAGCAGTTCAGACTTCTTTTCTCTTGCTGATGAATTGGTGGCATGATGCTGGATTGTCAGGTACCTTATCTTTTGCGTTAGTTCTCTGTTTGACTTGGGTACATTTTTATTATCCAAGGTCTATTACACTCCAAGGCTGAAGTTGTGTTGCTGTGAATAACTATAGTTTCTGGAAGCATAACTGGCTAGAAATATTACTGGGTAACATTTTTGTGATTAGAAATCTTCTTCCACTGAAACAAACTACAATATACTGTTGGATGCGTTTTTGATTCAATAAATTAAAATAATTGGGGGAAAAAAATTATATTCGCTTCCAGAAATGATTGTGTTTTTAGTGGTGTGCTGTGTCTGCTCCTATTAGTGACATCCAGCGTGATAAAGAACATTGTTGCCACTCAGAAGACTGTTCAGTTTCTGTAAGTGAAAACCTTTTGTGGCTGTAAAGGCAGATGGTGCATTCTGTGCAGTAAGGTAAAAACTCTCCCTGCATGCAGCTCCTCCCCCCCGAAATACATACCTGAGCCAAATCTCTATCCAGCAATGTGCACAAGAGCTGAGTCTTTCTTGGCTCTCTTGCTCCTTATTGGCTCAGATACAGCAGCGCAAGCCATTGGCTCTTGCTGCTGTCAATCAGAATCAGTGACGAGGGAGTAGGGTTCAGGGCCGAGCTCCGCTCGTTGTGACTTAGACACAGTCGGCTCAGGAGTGCCCCCAGAGCAAGCAGCTTGCTCTAGGAGCTCTCAGCGGGGGGAAGGGGTCAGGAGCACCAGTGGGGAACCAGAGAAGAGGAGAATCTGGGCTGCCCTGTGCAAAAACCATTACACAGAGCAGGTAAGTATAACATGTTTGTTATTTTAATTGAACCAAAAAAAAAAAAAACCACAAAAAAACCCAAAGCTTTACAATCACTTAAAAAAACACATTGCAATTGAAGGAGAAAATCTCTGCAAATAAACCTTTTAAAATACTTTGTTTATTGTTTAGTACAGGACACAGGAATTGATTCATAGACCATGGGATGTTTCTAAGCAGAGGGATAGGCAAAAATGAATGGCTAAAAGCTTTGTTGGTTCTGTTCCCTAATGTCCCCATAAAACCCCACCCACACTGTACTGCTTCAGTTTTTTGGGGGGTTTTTTTTGACGATGGATGCCTTCTGGAGAGGAATTTCCTCATTTTATTTATTTTACCAGATTTATTTACCTCCTTCTGCTGACACTTTTGTCATGGCTTAGAAGCAGGTTCTGGATTGGTGACACTTGAGTACACCTTAGGAATCATGCTGCTAGCCTTAGCAAATAGGTATAATGTTTTTTTTTACTTTAAACTTTTTTTCACATTTCTGGATGCATTAGTGACTTTGTGGGATTGTTGCACAATTACACGTGCTTTTCCTCCCCTGTAACTACTTCCTGCTCCACAGAATGGAGGTGGAGGCCATTCTTCATAGCTCTGGATTGGCGCAGTAGAGCAAGGTACACCAACCTGGTAAGGTTACTCACAGATGCCTTGCTTTCTTAGAGAGCGATCTTCCTCTTTGCTTCTCAGTTGCTGGCATTGTCAACATGGTATCTTATTCCATGTTTTTACAGCATCGCAGGTTTCGCTATCCTGGCTATGCTGTAGACCAGCCTTTCTCAACCTTTTCAATGCAGAGGGACCCTTGACACAACTTTCCGGTCTCAGGGAACCCCTGCTAAAAATGACTATATCTACAATTCATAATACATGAGTTTGATAGAGGTAAGAATGCTCCTTACACTTGTGGTCATTGGGAAGAATTACCCCCTTACAGATTGCTAAAAACATCAATGGGAACTTACCTGAGAGGCAAAATTGCTGATTGCTCAAGGAACCCCTAGCAACCTCTGGAGGAACCCTGGTTGAGAAACCCTGCTGTAGGCACATCCACTTCCCACAAAGGAGTACTAATGAACTTGGAGACATGCTTTTTGTAGTTTTTGCTCTCTTATAAGGACTCATTCACTCTTGTGTGGCAGTGGCTATGTGCTGGCAGAAATGGTACAAGCACCTTTTTATGATGTATTAAAATGAAAGGGCTGCTTTAATGCAATGCACATTAATAGTTGTGTGCCAAGGCTTAAATGGCTCTCCATTATCAAATTTCTCTCCCTTTTGTGGGATTTTAATTTGCTCCTGTTAGCGATTCAATGGTTTCCCTTTAAGCAGATGAGTGACATTTCTCTTTACCTTACAAGGTGGTTTTCTTTGTGGTACCTGTAGAGCAAGGGTGTAAAATTCAGTTTAATCGTGGGCTATATCAGCAATATGGTTACCCTCAAAGGACCTGTTCTATCTGTAAGACTAGATGTCCAAAGCACCTCCCACCCTCCCCTACATCACAGTGCATCCCTCTTAACTTGAGCTGCTGCCGGGAAGAAGCTGAGGGCAGAGCTGGAAAGCAGACAGTGCATGGTCTCCAGGAGGACCAGAGGAGGGCTAAAATCTGCTGAATGCTGAGACCAGGGGAAATGGAGACAATGGGTTGAGAGGTGCAAGATCTGTAGTAGAAGTTCTGTTCTCTGCTGCCTAGCTGGAGCCTGGGCTGAGGTTTGTAGAAATATGTAACTCGCATGGACACTTTCTTCTAGGACATCATCCTACTATGCTTTTGTGTGCTGTGCTAGTTAACTAAATGGAGATTTCTCACTGTCTGTATGTAGTTTCTGTTGTATGTTAGTCTTATACGCCAGTTTGTTTGAATAAAATGATTGCTAGATAGCACATTCATGTATATTAAAATGTTCAGGCCTTGGCTGTGAATCACTATTGTTGGTTGTATTGTCAGAGGGAATGTTAGTGGTACTCGTAAACATAGAGCCTAAGAACTGTGTCTTTTTTACTTGAAGAATACCTGAAGGCTCAAAACCTAAGCCATGTGACCCAACTGACCCAGCAGCTCTTATTGCTGAAGCTCTAAAGAAGAAGTTTGCATACAGATATCGAAGTGATAGCCAAGGAGAGTCAGACAAACCTGTTCCAAAGAAAGAGCCAAAGAGGGCTGCAGAAACACCAATGGTATGTGAATATTTTTCTGTCTATGTGAACTTCACTAGAATGATTTATCGTACAGGATTTGTTATAAATGTTATATATGAGCCTAGGTGCATTGCCCTGCCTCTCTAGCTCATCTAGTCAGAGAACGCTTTGAATTCATTCGAGCGAGAATGATCAATTATCTTTGTAACAACTCTTTTGTTGTTTTGTTTTTCAGTTTGGACCTCACATGTTGAAATCAACAGGAAAAATGAAGACCCTCATTGAATCGAAACATTCCTGAAAAACATGAGAAGCTCTTGACCAATTCCTGGCTTTTTACTAGGGATTAAGAATCAAAAACGAGATGTGCAATGTATTTTCTTCTAAAGGGATCTTGTGACCTGATCACAATCTGTATAACACTAAATCTTGCCGTGCCAAATTGTGGTGGATAATGAGCAATGGCTTGAATATATACTGTACAATACTAATGATATAGTATAGTTATTCTAGTTCTAGCAATACTGTACAATGCTGCAGCTGTTTGGTACTTTGAGGGGTAGACTCCCCCTTCATTTTTGATAGGCACTTTATGAAGTGTTCAGAAGATGTTTAGTAGATTATACTTTTTATTTTGATGAATATAGGAATTTACAATTTCCTTATTATAAGCAAATGGTTTTTAGACTTTTGTGCTCTTAAGCTTTATTAGATCTTCGGAAATATTCTGTAAAGCAACTTTTTGCATTTTTATAATTGAATTGCCCAACAAAATATTTGTTAGTGACCACACTTTTTTTTTTTTTAATATCCCATTACATTGGCGGGAGCTTTGAGAGTTCAACTGTTGGTAGAAATCTAAAGGTAAGTATATGAAAGTTTTTCTTGCTAAGCTTAATTAGCTTATGATTTACTCCAGTAAACGTTCATTTTTACAGCAAGCTCATAGAGGTATCTGAATAGTATTGCTTTCCGTGAGCGTGCACCGTTTATCCTATTCTATGCTGTTCTCTAACTGTTGGCCTGTTTTGTTTAGAGCTGACCTGCCTGGCTTCCATCACCCAATGGTGTTGCGCAGTTCAGGTTGTTTGTAACCAACCATATGGCAGCCAATACTATTGGCTATAAAATGTACATGTGATTTATTACCAGTTCCTAAAACTGTTGGATTGGTTTTTAAGATGTTCCCTGCCTGGCGGCACCCCCCCCCCCCTTTCCAAATAGCAATTCTGTTGGCTTTTATCCAACATGCAGTATGGTTGGATATAAACCTTATGTTTCCTGGTGTTTAGCTGGTTCCCAGTCTGGATTTAGTTTTTTTTACAGAGCATCCCAGGAGCTTCAAATCCTTAGATGTTGTATATTAAATATTGTGTGACCACAGCATTTATGATCATGTTGCAGCCCACCCCTTCCAGGCATTTTCCACTTCGTATTTGCCAGTGAGTCTACGGAGTGCATTTGGTGACCAGTAGAAAAAATCAAGGCAACAGAATGGGGAAAGGGTTTCATGGTGATTATGTAGGTCTTTGTTGCAGTTCACTTTATACAGCACTCTGCAATTGTAAGCACCTGGGATGCTCTTTTAATAACTGAATACACAGGTGATTACTTGGAACGGCCTGTTATCTGTAGTCAGAGCCAGCTGTATACTGTAAAGCTACCCCACAAGTTGCTTTAGTGTGTACAGACCAGAATGTCAATTTAAATTTTTTAAAGTAACAATATTCGATATATGAGCAGAATGGTGTCCCAAGAAAAAGGTGTGAGAAGTGTTGAAAGGATGAAAGATGAATGATCAAAGATTTCTCACTAGTCGAACGTTCCTTTGGGGTTAATTATATCAACGAAAGGTTATGGGGAAATTCAGTAATCAGGACATTTTCTTCACGGCATGACTCCTTTTAACATGGCCTGCGCGAAACTAATGAAAGCGGTGTGCAAGTTTTGGTACCAGTACTTATTCAGGTAGTTTCTACTTCTGCTACGTACAGTGAAGGAAATAAGTATTTGATCCCCTGCTGATGTTGAATGTTTGCCCACTCGCAAAGAAACGATCGGTTTAAAAATCGAATGGTAGGTGTATTGTAACACTGAGACAGAATAGCAACAAAAAATTCAAAAGAAATGCATGTCTAACAAATTATGCACTGATTTGCATGTTCATGAGGGAAATAGGTATTTGATCCCCTATCATTCAGCATGATTTCTGGCTACCAGGTGTCTTTCATACAGGCAGCAAGCTGAGATTAGAAGCAGTCTCTTAAAGGGAGTGCTGCTAATCTCATGTTACCTGTATAAAAGACACCTGTCCACAGGAGCAATCAAGGAATCAGATTCCAAACTCTCCACCATGGCAAAGACCAAAGATCACTCCAAGGATGTCAGGGACAAGACTGTAGACCTACACAAGGCTGGACTGGGCTACAAAACTATCGCCAAGCAGCTTGGAAACGTCTGACCTCTGTGATTGCCAACAAGGGATTTGCCACCAAGTACTAAGTCATGTTTTGTGAAGGGGATCAAATACTTATTTCCCTCATGAACATGTAAATCAGTGCATAATTTGTTAGACATGCATTTCTTTTGAATTTTTTGTTGCTATTCTGTATCTGTGTTACAATACATCTACCATTCGATTTTTAGACTGATCATTTCTTTGTGAGTGGGCAAACATTCAAAATCAGCAGGGGATCAAATACTTATTTCCTTCACTGTATAGATGACATTCACACAAACTTACTGTTCCATACACCCATGCAAAGGACTGTCTTGGTGTTCCATGAAGACATCCTGTTAAAATCAATGACAGGCAGAAGGCTGTACAGATCTTGCAATGCACAATGTCACCAGCATCCCCACCCCTTCAGTGACTTTCAGATGTCGACTAGGGAATCTCCCAACCAGAGGCTGAATGGCGATGATCTATTTTGTTGTGATGTCAAAGCCAACAGCATATTGGTGAAAAAGGGGCTGACCGTGCACAGAGGATGGAGTGTTGGAGGTGTGGACACTCCAGCCTCAGTCTGCCTTCCTCCATGCATGTTTCTGCTAGTTACATATATCATTGCCCGTGCCATCTTTTGTCATACATAGAAGTAACAGAATTCTAAAGAGTGTTTGAAATTATTTATGAATTACTCAGGATGTGACTTTAATTCTTCTTTAAGCCATTGGGGAAATGTGCTGCATATTACAGCCAGGCATTAGACGTTGGTGTAGTAGAGATGGCCAGTTCCCTCCTCTTCATCACTGACTTTGAAATCTCTGTTAATACACCTGTTCTGGTGGTGGTGTTCCCTACATTCCATTTGTCATGGCTGCCCAAATCTCCGACAAATAACTCAGATTATGATAGCATCTGCGCAGCGACTTGCTTTAGGAATGATTTCCTTTGTAGCATCCACTTAATCTATCAGAATTGTCTTTTCCCGTCATACTGACCATAAGTATTATGTCATATCTTGCCAGTTCTGTTACAAGCATCATTTGTATTTATTGTTGTATAGAGACCTGTTGTAAAATGACCTCGCTTATGCATATATGCCTCATCTCAAATTAAATTTCTCTGTTTTGACAGGCTTACCTTGTAAGGACTGATTTTGAATCTGCATAATCCTTTATACAAGGACATGTGTAGCCATGAAAACACATTAGAATAACTACAAGGAAAAAACAGCAGCTATTTGTGAAAGCTGGACATAGTTTGGGGTACTTGTTAATTGTTTAAAAGATACAAGAGCAGTCATTAATCAATAGCATAAATGATTATTGGAAAACCTTGATGTAAAATTGTTAAATGTGGTTCTCTAGCACTTTAAAGCTCAAATCCAGGAATATGGAAAAGTCCACCCTTGCAGTGCCCCCCCACCTGGAAAGGTTAAATGTTATGTCTAGGGGTAGTGGAAGAAGGAGAAATGCTTGCCTTATTCCTCACTCCAGCAGGGCCCCACCAGTGCTGTTATTGTTCCCCCCTGTTCGCAGTCACCCTCCAGCCCCCATTGCACAGTACAGGGTTAGTGTTCCTGTAGGAAAATGGCCAAGAAACCGTTTGCTAGAACTGCCTCCCTAATAAGTGTTAGCTGGAATTTGACTTTAAACTGTCAGTCACTTATGTAAAGCCCATCTCAATCTACTAGTCCATCTAACACTACCCTCTCCACTTATTGACAATACTGCTGTCCAGGGGTGGAGTCATTGTAGTACCCATAAGACCTCCATGACTAAGCTCCATGGGCAGGGTAAATTTTGTGTTGGGGGCATGGCTGTGGATGAAGTTGGCTGAAGTTGCTTTCCCCTGTTTACTAATGGCCTTGCTAGTTGTGCGGTGTTTGTCTACACTCCTCACATACTTTGGATTTGCATAGAGGAAGGTCCCAGACTCCTGCCCAACCAGCACCCATTGCAGGAATCACTGGATGGACTTACAGGATTTTGAGCGGAGACCTTAAAGTGTTGCTAAACCCACAACAGTAAAACCAGTCTGTATATGCAGTAAAGCATGCTTGTTATACTCACTGTGAAATCTAAGGGGTTAATCCTCTGCATTGTGTAAAAAAAAAAAAAAAAAAAAAGTTTGATCCACCACTTCTACTGTCCTAAATACATCTGCTGATAGTACAAAGCTCTAGGAGTCACTGCACATGCTCTGTTTGCTGTGTATTGCTAAAGTGTTTTTTTTTTTTTTTCTTTGTAATGGTGCATGTGATTGGCACAGGGCCAATCAGCACTGTCCAGACAGAGGGTCAGGGGTTATGCAGCCTCATAGGACAGTCAGAGCAGAATGAAAACTCCTACAAGCTTTAACCAGTGTTCAGCTGGACTCTGATAGAAGTCACAAGACTGGTATATACTGCTGATGGAAAAAGGTATTTAGCAGTTTATATTTACTAAGACAATTGTATTTCTGTGTACTGTGGGAGACCAGATATAGTGAGTGCAGGGTCCAGGGTTTAGTAAGTTTTATGAACCCCAAGACAAGCCATAGATGATGCAATTTTCTTGGCTGAATGACAAAAACTGAGCTATGTATGGCCAACATTACTGGCTGATCACCAAATGAAAATGAATAAAAAGCTTGGAAAAATTAAACTACTGAAGCCACAGCATCCAATGATTAGTAAGCAGTTTTGGTTTCAAATACACTTTAACCTTTGCAGTGCAGGGGAGGCCATAGCAAGGGTTAATTTTTTTATATTCCTGGAGCTGAGCTTTAAGTAGAAGAATCAGAATGTTATCCGGAGAGTAACGGACGTTTAGCTAGGTGTTTGGTGCATTTAGCTGGTGGTATAAGTGATGATA